TAGATAAATTAAATAATTAAAAATAGAATTATAAATAGAAAAATATAAAAGAAAATATAAATGATTATCAAAATTATGTTACATGATATTTTACATGTGATTTAAAATATCAAATAGTGACAATATATATTTTTTATTCTTATATTTAATAATTTTAATATTAATATACTTATTCAATTAATTATTAATTAGTAATTTATCTATTTAATTATTATAGAAAAAAATAAAATTAATTTTATTATATATATAGTAATTCTTAAAATTATAAAATTATATATAGTGACAATCAAAAATAATATAATGATCAAAATTTATTAATTAAATATAGTAAAATATGAATTTTTCTTTTTATATAAAAGTTTTCAATTTTACTAATAAATATTTTTTATTTTTATATTAAAATAATATTATATATTTTAATATATATTTTTTTCAGATTTTTTAGATTTAATCTAATAAAGCTGTTTTATTTACATATAAAGCCAATTAATTTTTTAATTATAAAAATTAATTAATTTATTTTGTATTAGAAAATTTTTTTAGATTAAATCTAAAAAATTTGAAAAAATATATGTATATTAAAATATAAATTATTATTATAAAAATAAAATATTTAATGTCAATAAAATATTTAATTTTATTATATTTTAATAATAAATTTGAAAATAATACATGTTTTAATTATAAAAAATCAGTTAGCTTACTTTGTAATCAGAAAAACTTTCTAAAATTAAATCTAAAAAAATTGAAAAATATATGTTAAAATATGAATTATTATTTGTATTTTTATATAAAAATAAGAAATTCAGTGAAATTGAAAATTTAAAAAGAATAAAAACAGAATATTAATATAATTTAATACTTTTATTTTATTTATTATTGAATATAATATTGTTGTTTGATATCAATATTTGATTTTAATTTACAAAAAATATCAAATTAATTGATCAAATTTTAATTCATTCAAAAACCAGAAGAAACTACAATATATTCTTGTAAACCTTCAATTACTTGGTTTTAATTAATGCTATATTATTTAGAATTGTTCATTAATTTCCATTTTTCTTTCAAGTTTTTTATTAGTATACAAATAAATTCATCTTTAAATTTTTTAAGAGAAAGCATGTTGATCTACAAAAGACTACGACAGTTTATATATAAAAATAGTTTAGAAATCATGTGAGTGTGTATTCTATGTAAAAGTAGTTTTGCATTTAAATATCTATTATATAAACTCATAAAAAAACCCCCCATTATATCCCAAAACGCGAAATTGCAACAAACACAAATTATTTTTCACCCACCCAATAAATAACGATCTATTGATGATAATTATACGTATGTGCGAGCATTTGAATATGGTGTGTAGTTAGTTGGTGCTTGCCGCTTCTTCTTGGACGATCTTAGACGGCAGCAACAATCTGTTAGTCATTAAATTTAATCATTATTTGTAATACTATAGATAATAAATAAGTTTGTCTATTCGTGTAAATATACCTCGTCAGCTTTTTGCAAAGCCTCAATCATTTTCTTGACTTCTTTTCGTCTTTGTTGAGTGTATTCACTCTCCTTGAGCAATTCATCTAAAACGTCTACTTTGTATAATTCTTGTAGTAATTCTCGCTGTAACTCTTCTTTAGCGTATGCGACCAGATGCAACATAATCGCTTTAGGAACCGTGTCCACAATAGTACGTTTCACAATATTGAAGTATGATTGAATAAGAAGTTCTGATAGTAATTTGGTAGTAGTAAAGACCGTGTCAGTCGTGTATAAGATCAAATGAAAAATCAAAGACTCCGCTTACTTATTACTTCCGTCTCCATAAATTCACGTTCTGAAAGATTTCCAGAGGCTTTTAATACTTGAGGTGGCTGCTCAAAATACAAAACTTGAAATATTAAAATAATGAACGCAACACAAGAAATAACAATTCTGAACATAAATACCGGTTCCATTAAGCCAGCCTTCTTTTTCTTGTTTGTAGCAAAGAAACTTCCAAAGAAGCCAGTATTTTGCGATTCCGTATCGAAACCGAGCGGATTACTCGTCAAATTCGCAATACTTACTCTATTATTTTTGGAATCAGCGGAATTTGCAGGTTTTGGAGGATTAATTTTCTCATTGATGATAGTCATTGCTTTATGACCATTGAGAAAATCAGGATGGCCAGTGTTAATATAGCAAGCTTCCATTCTGTTAATTAAAGAAAGCAAAGATTAGGTATATTAAGAAAGTCAAAGATAATATTGTGGAAGTTTGAACCATAAGAATCTAGCTTATTAATACGTACAAGACAAGATCAGTGACAAGTTTATTTGTAGGATTCAATGCTTTTTTGAAGAAATTAATTACAACCGTGTTAAATTTTTCTTTTAGACCAGGGAAACGTTTGAATAACTACAATAAATCATAGACAATTATATTAATAAAGATAATTCTAGCAAATACGAACTTCTCAGATTATTATCACTAACCTGTTTCTGCAATAGTTGAGTTAAAATTCGAACTAATTCTTCATAGACAAGCAGAGTACATTTTAGACTTGGCTCTTCAAGTCGTTTAATTTGTTGTTTGATGATTACTTCAAATGCCGTCGTGCCAACAAACAAAGCAGGCGATGAACCAGAAGAATTATAAAGAATAGTTCTGATATCTACATCTTTAACTTGATCAAATGGATCTATAGATTTTACGCCATTTGCAAAAACTTCATGGAATACGAAGCTGATACGCGCACCACCAGACAATTCAAATGAAGACAGATCTTGCGAATTTCCGTCAATTATCGTACGGAATTCGGTACAGAATTCAGTTATAATATTTAGAACAAGATTGCCTTGATTGTTTGAACCTTCGTTTAATGGATCACCAAGACCGGCTAATTCTTGAAGATACTTTGCTAAGGCTGCTTGTATTTTTGCCTTGATCTCAGGAAGGGTGTTTCTTATGTGATGCATTAGAATCTAATAATCAAAAGATTGAAAAAGTATATTAAGTACATACATAACAAAAATATGTATAAAGAAATATCCGCAATAATCACCATATTAAGTTTCCGTGCCAAAAATGGAGTACCACAATACTGTGCTTTGCTCTTGTATGAAGGATGATTTTCAAAGAACTGGCGTTCACCTTCTAAAGCTGTGGAAATTGCTTTTCTACTGTCGATATCCTTTTGACCACGATTCACCACAGGAACATAGCCTGTATAAAATAAAAAATTAATCATTTTATATAATAAATATCATTTGTCTAATAAATTTAGTTAAAGATACATACCAAGTCGTAAGGGAATAACACGTCCCGCCAAGATATCTACGACATCTGTTCCTTGATCCCTATATAAGACAACTGTTAATGTTCATTTGTGCAATGATAAAAATAAAGTGTAAAGTGATCTATAAAGGTCATACATGAGATCAATTTTTGTGAGAACTCCGATTGTACGAGAACCTGTAATTAATAGAAATAAATTATTAAGCGGTTATGAAATCCAAATTAACAATAGTATCACACCTTCTGGATCAACTTCTCGTGCTAATTTTAGACCATCAGAATTTGCCAAATCACTATTGGCGGCAGTGACCGCAAGAATAATAGCATTCGGTTTAGTAATATATTTCAATATCATTTCACGAATTTGTTTTTCTATGTCTTTTGGTTGGTCACCAACGGGAACCTAATCATGACGATGTTGTCAATAATCAAACTTATTCCATTATTTATATAATAGAAAATTAAACATATAGTTACTTTAGTCAGACCCGGCAAATCGACAAGTGTCAAGGTCAAGACATGTGGTGAGTATATTCTCAGATTGATGGGTTGTGGGGAAATACCTAATAAAATATAAAAATCATTTAAGAGTATATAAATTTATATAAAATACATAAAAATGAAAAATATTAACCAGCATTTTTTCCGGTTTTTTCCTCGGTTTCTTTGACAATTTCCTCACGGATCTTATTAAAGTCATAAAATTTAACGCCAGGAATGTGCAAAAATTCGCCCCATTCCTCTGTTTCCTTTTCCTTTTCCTTTGTTTCCTTGTTTCCTTTTTCATTGTATTCTTTCTTAATCTTAACCGGTCTCTTTTCGGTATCAGCACTAGTTGAATCTTCTTCATTATGTGGTCGATTAATGAGTTGCAAAACCTGGAATTAGTAATAAAAAAATGTAACGAGGAAATTAAAAATCATTAGATCGAAATTGTTTGTTTATTTGTTTATTAATAAATAAAGTGGTGCCATTCGATGAAAAATGCAGTATTTCTATTGTTCTGGTTACAAGAATGCTTACCAAAGGTCTTCGAGTTACTATACCGGTGCCTCTAGGTAAAAAGTCTCGTCCTACTATATTTTCTAACACTGAACTTTTCCCGCTCGACTGTGAGCCAATAACTACTATTTGAGGAAGGTCTACGGGATTCTGTACACCGACCGTAGCAAAGGCATCATGAAGCTTATTAACTATTATTCATTCAAAGAATGTATGAATTAGCATTGACTCATTCTATTAAAATAAAAACTACGAAATAAGGCATGCCTGTTTTAATGAGAGTAGCATCCATGGGTTGCAAATGCTTGAATACGACTTTGGCTATTCAAATTCTATATCTATTTTGCAACGAGGCAGAGAAAGCAGCAAGTAATATTGTTTGCTTTGATCGCAGCAAAAGCTTGGGCTTCGATAGCACTTCTTTTACTTATCGAATCTGTGACACGTGAGAATCGCTGATCGAGTTAGATAGCTAACCTATATCGATATCGATATAATTACGTGTGAAGTTAGAATCTCGAACTAAAGTGATAGTATAATGCCTTTTCCTGAACCAAGAAATAAATTAAAATACTCTGATACTGAAGACGAGACGCCATTAATGGATCACGACGAATGGGCGGAGGTCAGCATTACTTGACAGTTGTTTGAATTCTTGGCATGCCTTCGAGCACCTTATGCCTTTTTAATCCCTTAAAGTTCATTCTATAAATTGATACATATAAAAGAAGGCTTTTTATTAAAATACTTTTTTTCATAAGGAGAATTCTTCGGCAGCACGCTCTTCCCGCCGTCGGCGGCCTCTTGTTACTTCAAAACCTTCGAATAATCCACGCTCTACTAATCAACAGCATAAATCTCGAACTATATCCTTTCACGCGTCAGCCAAAATCAAAGATAAATATCCTCCGAATGTAGTTAGAAATCAAAAATATAATGTGATCACATTTTTCCCGTTTGTTTTATATCAGCAGGTATTAAATAAATTATTTATATCGATTTCTTTTAAATCGGAAATTGAGTTAGTTATATTAATTCTTGTATTTGTTAGTTTCACATTTTCATCAATCTGTATTTTCTTCTGGTAGCCTTATCGCAATTTATTCCACCACTAAAAATCGGTAATTTTTCTGCATTTTTAACGAATTTATTTTCATTCTTTATTGACTAATAATTTATCATTCTTATTAATAATAGGATACATTGTAACATATTTTGGACCTTTATGTTTTGTTCTTCTTGTCACAATTGGTAAAGAAGCCTATGATGATTGGAAAAGATGTAAACGTGACCAGGAAAATAATGCCCAGAAATATCAAATTTTGACCAAGGACGGAATTGTGTTAGTCCCAAGTTCGCGCATAAGAGTCGGTGATTTGGTTATTATACATAAAGATCAAAGAGTATGTAGCCTTGGTGTGTAAGGGTGAGAGAAATTAGGACAGACAGAATTGGTGAATGATTCCAGTCTTAAATTTATTAATTATATATATATATATATATATATTGTGCAGATACCTGCCGATTTAGTGCTATTGCGAACTAGTGAGGCAAGTGGCGCTTGTTTTATTCGGACCGATCAACTGGATGGAGAAACAGATTGGAAATTGAGGTAGAATTAGAAATTGCGCTATCACTTTACTTTGGTACTAGTTATCAATGAATACTTAATGATATGTTAAAAATGACATTAAGCCTATTATTATTAATGACTTTTTAGGCTTGCCGTACCATATTGTCAAAAATTGCCAACTGATGAAAGTTTATTAGAAATTGACGCTGACATATACGGTATTTTTATTAATTTATGATCATTCATAATTTCGAATTTAAGATGATAGTTATTAACTCATTGTGGCATTTACAGCTGATTTCCCTCAAAAAGATATTCACAATTTCACTGGAAATTTTTCAAATAATCAGCTTGGAGCCATTGTAAGAGAGGAATTTTAAATAAATGATATATTTGTTGAATAAATCCACTATTTTTAATGAGCATATAAAATCAACTAGACGCCAGTAGTCGAAGCTTTAAATGTTGAAAATACTCTTTGGATGAATACTGTCCTTGCTTCAGGGACTGCAATTGGATTCGCGATTTACACAGGTCAAGACACGCGAGCAGTAATGAACACTAGTCATCCAGAAACAAAAACTGGCTTACTGGATCATGAAATTAATAGGCTATCTAAAGTACAATCTTTTATTTAGTTTCATATATTATGATCATTATTATTTTTACTAAACTCCAAAATTTCGATTATAGATCCTGTTTGTTGTTACATTATTTCTTTCGCTTACCTTGATCGCTTTGAATGGGTTCCGAGGCTTATGGTATATCTACCTATTTCGATTTTTGATCCTTTTTTCATCGATTATCCCAATTGGGTGGGTATGCATCTTTTCCTATATTATTATATTATTATATCAAATTATCATTTCTATATGCTAAAAGTATTGTCGTTTAATAAATATATAAAATTGTTCAGCTTGCGTGTAAACTTAGACATGGGTAAAACAGTATATGGACTACAGATAATGAATGATAAAGAGATACCCAATACTATTGTTCGCACAAGCACAATTCCTGAAGAGCTTGGGCGTGTTGAATATTTATTGTCAGACAAAACTGGAACTTTAACCAAAAACGGTAAAATATTTCTTTAAAAGAATATCGATTATAGTCGTTTTTACATTGTACTAAGTCTAAGAGATTCTTGATTAATTTGAAAAAGATATGGAGCTCAAAAAACTACATATGGGTACAATATCATACGGTGTTGATACAATGGACGAGATTTCTTCTCATCTTGAAATGGCCTTTGCACCTCGTCATGGTACGTGCTTGAAAACAAGTTTTTTTATAATTAATTTGAGCACAATTATTGACATTTTCCTTACAGAGCCCACTCATACGCGGAATACATCTCGTAATGCAATCTCTGTATCTGCTAATTGGGTTGGGAAAAGTAGAAGAGATATTACTTCAAGAATACGGGATATTGTATTAGCACTCGCATTATGTCACAATGTAAGTTTTTTGATGATTCCATATGAGGTTTGATGTAGTACATATTTCATATTAATTGATTTTCTTAGGTCACTCCAGTAAATGAAGATGGACAAGTCACATATCAAGCTTCTTCTCCTGATGAAGTGGCAATTGTTCGATGGACAGAAAACGTGGGATTGACGCTGGTATTCCGAGATGTGCATGAAATGCACCTTCGTACATCCCACGGTGAATACCTTGAATTCTCGATTCTCCAAATTTTTCCTTTCACGAGTGAAACTAAGCGAATGGGAATCGTTGTTAAGGAAAAAAGCACTGGCGAGATAATTTTTTACGAAAAAGGTGCTGATGTGGTTATGACTAAAATTGTAAAGTATAACGATTGGCTTGACGAAGAATGTGGCAATATGGCAAGAGAAGGATTAAGAACATTGGTTGTTGCACGAAAACGTTTATCCGAAGAAGCTTATCATGACTTTGAACAAAGGTAAAATAGTTAAATTAAAAGATGCGTTCTATATAGAATCCTTTTTTATATAATTACTTATATATATTTAGATATCACGAAGCAAAAATCAGCATGAGTGATCGAAAAGCCCAAGCACAATCTGTTGTCTCTTCAATATTGGAACATGATCTTGAACTTTTAGGTGTTACTGGAGTTGAAGATAAATTACAAGATGGCGTGAAATCGACATTAGAATTTCTGAAAAATGCAGGATTGAAAATTTGGATGTTGACAGGTATGTGTGTGTATATATGAATCATTAAGTAGGTTGTTTGTCTAATATATATTTTTATTTAGGTGATAAGATTGAAACAGCGACATGTATTGCTATTTCTTCAAAATTAATTGACAAAAATCAATTTATTCATACAATTTCGAAAGGTATCCTTATTTCAACAGCTTATTTATTTAAATATGTTCTTTTAGATATGCTAATGTTATTTGTTGTCATTATTTATAGTAAGAAATGTTGAGATTGCAATGGATGAACTTGATGCCTTGAACCCGGACTGTAGTTTAGTTATTGACGGAGAATCTCTTCAAGTAAATTGATACTTTAAATTCATGAATATTTTTTATTGATATCGAGTTATAATTTTTAATAAATAAATTAGATTTATTTAGATCATTACAGAAGTGAATTTATTGACCTCGCAGTTCGATTGCCTATAGTGGTAGCCTGTCGATGCACGCCAACACAAAAGGTATTGCGTATCATCTAGGAAAAATTTTATCATGAAACGTTGAATCAAAGTAAACTTGTTTTTCATTCATTGTTCAAAAGGCAGAAATCACGCGACTCATCAAAAATTACACAAAAAAGCGAATTTGTTGTATAGGAGATGGTGGTAATGATGTTAGCATGATTCAAGCCGCCGATGTTGGTAAGTTGTAACAGATTCTCTTATATTTCAAGAAATAATGTTTGTTTTTAATATTATCATTCGACTCGCGCTAGGCGTAGGCATTGTGGGAAAAGAGGGCAAGCAAGCATCCCTTGCTGCAGATTTTTCTATTACCCAATTTAGTCATCTAACTAAATTGTTATGTAAGTATTCTATTATTAGCATCATCATTTACTATTTGGTATGAACTCACATAAATTATAATTTTCAAAAAGTATGGCATGGCAGAAACAGCTATAAACGATCATCGAAACTAGCACAATTTGTGATCCATCGTGGTCTAATAATATCTGTTATACAAGCAGTATTTTCAGCTATATTTTATTTCGCGCCGATTGCACTTTACCAGGCATGTGATTGTCCGATGTCTGACGGGATCTTACATTTTCACATAATAATATTGATATTTTTGTATTTTTAGGGATGGCTCATAGTGGGATATTCTACAATATACACAATGGCTCCGGTATTTTCTTTGGTACTAGATCAAGATGTGAATCATAGAATAGCTATGGAATTTCCCGAACTTTACAAGGAATTAACAAAGGTTGTTATTATCTCTATCTATTTTTTCCCTTTATGCTCTAAAATAAATTTGCTTATATCATGTACAAATTATTTCAGGGACGATCATTATCCTACAAAACCTTTTTTCAATGGGTCATGGTTAGCGTATATCAAGGTAGTTAATATAAATATAAATTTAAATCAATGGTTCTCTTATTTTTATAAATAATATTTTATTATTTTGAATAGGCGGTGCTATCATGATTATGTCAATCGTGTTATTCGAGGATCAATTTGTCCATATAGTTTCCATTTCATTCACGTCATTAATTCTCAATGAATTACTTATGGTCGCTTTGGAAATTAACACATGGTATATATTCTAACTCTTTTCATGATTCTAGTTCTTTTACTGATCATAAAATTTTGTTCAATTAAGGCATCCGTATATGATAATGTCCGAGATTCTGACGTTAGCGATCTATTGCATTTCGATGGCCTTCCTGCCGACTTATTTTGGTATGTTTTTATCTCGGAATAAATAGATGATTCATATTTTTTTATTTCACTTCACCAATTAATCAATCTCCCAAATAACTTCATCGTCAGATATGTCTTTTATTCTGACACCAACTTTTGTATGGAAAGTCGCATTGATAACAGCCGTAAGCAGCATGCCACTTTACCTTGTAAAGTATATCAAACGAAGATATGCTCCGCCTATTTATACCAAATTAAAATAATATATCGTTTCGTGTTTGATTGTATTTTTATAATTGCTTTTTCTAACAATTATTATTATTATTACTGCTAGTAATTAGTAATTTATTATGAAAAAATCTAGATATTACGACAGATAGAAATTATTTTTTTTAAAGACTGAGCGTGTACTTGCTCCGTTCAGTTCCATTGGCATTGTCATCATAATTATCATCAATGCAATATAATATTAATTGCCATTACGATGCAAGCAAATGCAACATAAGGGCTAAGACGTTCTCCTATTCAATAAAATATATTATTAATAAACAGCGCCTGATCCATAAAACACCAAGTTAGCATACCTATTCTTGCCGCTTTCCAAAATAAACCTAAAATGCTAGATAAATCAATAAATGAATCAATTAATTTTGGATACAAAAAAAAACATCAATATCATGATTGATTATCCATTCAGATTACCCAGTTTTATTCTTGTCAAGCAAAGCTGGAGCTTGTGCTTTAACATATGTACATGTGCAAATGACTAGTAGTATTACAAGTAGTAGACTCTGGAAATTGAATAATGCAGACTGGAACGGTGATGTTATTAGTGTTAGTATTGGTTTCGAGATTCTTTGGAAACTAAGCAAGAGTTAAAAAACGCGCACTTTTTATGTAGCTTGCTCACCATTATGATTATAATTATTAGTATTAGTGTTATTTAGTAGTTGAATGGGATTTTTTCTTCTTTTCAATAATACGTTATAACAAACTAGCCTAATCAAAGCGATTTTCATTGACACGTGTGTAATGAATTCTTTAAAAATATCATTTAATCATATTGATCAGTCAAGAAATATTTTAACCAAATAAATGCTGCGTGTGTTTACGCTATTGTGTGAAGTTTATTATAGGAAATTCAAAAAAAAAAACGTGCCAAAGCAATATAATCAAATGAAATGATACAAGATTAAATTGGATTAATTGAATGTCAATTTTATATAAAAATGTACACCGTTCAAAACGTGGAAGAAAAAATTGACACATTCTAACTTCCAATTGTCCAAGCCGGTATTAAAAACGAAAAGATGTCACGTTTCTCAAGGAAAAGGCGACTCGTCTTCGTTTCTCTTTCATGCCAATGACTCAAGCCTAACCTATGGAAACTTGAATAAATAGAGAGAGACTCTTTTTTTTCAAAAGGTTAGGGATCTAAGGGGCACGATAAATGGCGGTAAACAGATCATTGGTTGATTGATCGATGTAATTTATAATTCAAATTTTTGGAACACGTGATAAAGAACTTGAAGAATGTTGTAAAACAAGAAAATTGAAAATTGAATTAATGTCAAGTAAATGAATGTCAATCACCCAATTTAGCTAAATCGATCAAAAAATGCACACTTTACTGGCCGCAAAAAAATTCCCCTGACACCAACACAACTAAAACTCTCTTCAAGGTTCTATTAGATAATAATAATAACCCAATTTTTATATATTGCTCGTTATAATTTTTGTGAAGCACTCAACTTTCTGTAATATTTTAAAAACTGAACTGATTTCCTGTATAATTTTTGCTGTTATTTCTACTTCTATCTCTATTCAGGCATATCAAACAGTTGAGAGCACTTATTGAAACTCGTCTCTTTAACCTTTCACCTTCTTTTCACAAACAAAAACTGTTACTTGATTCATAATTAAAATTTATCGTAAATCAAAATTCCTCCCTACTTGTATCGAATCATTGGCGTTTACTCTCTTCCCAACAGTAACACTTCCTTACCTGTCGTGGTCAAGACACTTATTCGTTAGTTGAATTTACACTTTCTCCCCGAAGAAGAGTCTCGAAAGTCTACATTAATAATAAGATACAACGTTTTGTTGGCTGATTTCAGATTCCAACAAGAAAACTTGCTCTCGATAACCATGTCTTCTGCAAGCGTGAGACAACCAAAAGGACGAAGGCAAGAGTTCAATTCTTTTCAGAACTCAAACTCAAAGTATGTTCTGTTATATTGTTGCGTCATTTCGTGTGTACTGATCCGGTCTTTATCAATCAATGTATATGTGATGCGTGGGAATTAATTAATTTTCTTTTAATCACAATCGTTCTTTTGCATTATCTCTTGCATTATCACATCGACTACTTGGGATATTTTACATATCAGTCACACAAATCGAAATACGAAAAAATGGAGTAATAACGCTCAACATCCTGGTAATATGCCAATTCGTAATCAGTCAATTCCTCCAATACCGCCTTCACCACAAACCATAAATAATTCATCATCCAACACAAATCATAATCTTAACAATGGGTCCGTCTCAATACCACCTATCACAAATAATTCATATAAATCCGTCGAGAATACAATACATGATGAAATAGCAGCAAAACATATGCACGATCGAATGTTATGTTTATTAGCAAATTTTGTGGTAATTTTTTTCGATTGATTTTCTCAAGTTTGTAAATCATCGATCGTATTGTTTATAAACATGATGATTGATTGATTATTGTTTACTTTAGGGTATGAATGTACAAGTCACAATCAAAAGTGGTACAAAATATGAAGGTCTTTTTCACACAGCATCCACTGAAGGAGAACTTGGTGTTGTGCTGAAACTTGCGCGTAAAGTCTTAACAAAAGCAGAAGAAAAAGCGGGAACACCTAATAAAGTAATATCCACCTTTATTATAATGGCTAAAGATTGTATGGCAATTGAAGCAACATGCGTGGACTTTTCAGCTTCAGAAAAAAATCTTACATCTGAACGTGACAGTGAGTTTATGTTCTTTGCTCAATTGATGTCCATAAACTTGAAATTCAAAAATTTTATCTCAAATTTTGCTGTACACGTAAAATCAAATTTAAACAGGTTTTAGAACAGATGCGGATATTAGCGGTGGGCGTATTGAACCTCGAGAACGCGAATTACACAAATGGAATCCAGATGAACACGGTGGTGGGGAAGCCTTGGGTGGATTAGAATATCCTTTATTATCATTAATACATAGAATAAAATGTTTTGCTCGTTATTTTTAATTGATTTTTCTTGAATTAAAAAATAATCCTTAATTTTTTCTTACGGATGAAGCTGGCCAGGATAATGCAAGTGCAGTGACTTGGGATCAGTTTGCAGTGAACGAACAGTTATTTGGAATAAGAACGGATTTTAATGAAGAGTTTTATACCACAAAGTTGGATCGGACAAAACCCGATTTCAAAGAGAAGGAAAGGCAAGCTATTCAAATTGCGAACGAGATTACAAGGGTGCGTCCTACATATACACCTACGCGTGTGTGTGTATCTTCGTGTTATAATATTATGTTATATCATATGAGGGCTAAATTAATACGCTTTCATTTTTAGACAACCACTAATAATGTACATATGCTCGAAGAACGTGGTATCTTGATCGAAGAAAGTCACATGGACGAAGAGGACAAGTAATTTACATTCTTTTCCATCAGTCGCGCTGAAAAGATTGATATTAATAATTTTTGTGGTTTCTTAGGTATGGTGCAGTTGTTAGGAATCGAGATCCTAGCAAGTACATGCCACCTGCTCTTCGTAAATTACAAGAACAACAAAACGCTGCAACTGTTAAAAAACCAGAACTACCAAAAGAACCGGCCAAAGAGGTCAAATCGGTAGTAAAACCTATACCGGAGACTCCGACAGTTTCCGTACAACAACCCCCCAGTAACAATAACAATAACAATAACAATAACAACAACAGTAACAGTAACAGTAACAGTAACAGTAACAGTAACAGTAACAATAACAATAACAATAACAATAACAATCCTACTAACAACAATAACAATAACAATCCTATTAACAACAATAACAATCCTACTAACAACAATAACAATACTTTACCAAAAACGCTACCCGTTGGTCTCGCCCAATATCGTGTTCCTCCAGATGTGACCCTATTGTTAAATAATCATTCTCCGAGGGTAGGTTAACTTCTTGTTATCGTCAATTTATCCCACAGAAAAAATATTAAACTAAGCTCTACTTTGGCATCTCAGAAACATGGTATTGATGCACACGGCAAACCTATTGAAGCACATGGTAAACCTATTGAAGGCAAGTGTTTTTAATCGATTTACACGGAAATTATTTGTTTTCAAGTGTTTTGATCTAAAATTTTACGCATAAATAAATAGCACAAATTATGCACAACTTCAAAAAATTTGCCATAAATGAGAAAGAGCGTCTACAACAAAGAAAGCAGGCAATATTTAGAAAAGAGTTTGACGGAAAAGTAGCTGAATTAGCTAAATGGGGTAAAACATTTAAGGTATGAATTGTGATATCATTATTAGTGTTCATGGAGCGACATTTCTCTCAAATTAATAATCACATTATTCTTTAACAGTTGAGTTCTCCCTTGCCGTCTGATTTAATTCCAATATTGACGAAAGACGAAAGCAAGCGTCAACAATTAGTCGCTAAATCCGCTGCACTGTCAACAACAGACAAAGATAAGATTAAGGATAAAGATCAACAGCAAGAACCTAAGGAAAACACCAAAGAAGAAAAAGACAAAGAACGAACAAAAACAAATGACAAGGAAAAAGAAAAACCCAAAGATAAACTTGCTGCTTCTCCTGCACCTGAATTGAAAACAGAATTGAAAAAGCCGGAAATTAAAATCGAAGAAGAAAAACACAACTCCAATCCTGAACCTACAGACATCAAATTATCATCATCATCGCCGCCAGATCAACCACCACCGGAAAAGCCTATGTCCTTAAATACAAACGACAAAGTTTCCCAATCGTTATCGGCTGGCAAGACACCCGCGACCACTCCAACCAATTCGCAATTCAAACTCAATGTGCGAGCATCAGAATGGAGACCTAATCCGAATGCAGCGACTTTCACGCCGGTACTTTATATATTAAGTAATAAAAGTATTTCACATATATTATTTTTTTTTCGTAATAAATATTTTACTTTCAGACTGCACCAACTTCAAGTGCTGGTGATAAGAGGTCGCCAGGATCCGTGAGTATAAATATCATATACGCATTAATTTTAAGCCTTTGCTTATTCGGCCAATTAATTAATTCTGTATATAGTCGCCATTTTTCGGAAACAAGCAATTAAAAAAGAGCCCAGTATCATTAAAAGACAGTTTTAGTCCATTTCAAAAAGGAAAATTGCCAAATCCAAGTACAATTCGTAAGTATTATTTAGAAAAAAAAGTACTATTATCAAATCTCGTATTAATGTTAGCTTCATCTAAATTAGCACCAACTTGGCCATTTGGTGCAAGACCGTTTAGACATCAATTCACGGTTACTAATGCTTTTGAGGATGATATTTATAATCAAGCTGCAATGAGTCAAAGCTTTGGTTTTGCGTATCCGGTTGCGGCTCCTCCGTTCAGGTATCCCGCTGCTACCCAATATGTAAACGTTCCACCTATTACGATGCAACAAGCTGCCCCCATGCCTTATATGCAACCCAGCGTAAGTGTTAATATGTTATTAATTTTTATTATTATATTCATGAAATTAATTAATTAATTGAATTGCTTTTTTTTCGTATAGTTTGTTCCTGGCATGCCATTCACAACGCCGCAAATCCCTTCTGCTAATGGTGCTCCTCGTAAGTTTTCATTTCTATATATCGTCGTGTATTATCATTATTATTATGACGTGGTAACTCATATTTTTGTCCATTCAATTATAGCAAACATGTATAATCCTCAAATGTCATCGGTTATACCTCCACGTATGTATTTTTTTATGGAACTAAATATCATTTCTGATTCGAAACTAATCGAACCTTTATGAATTACAGAGCATTTTAGCCCACAAGGATTCCCATCCCCTGGACGTTCTCCGATGGTTCCCGCTGGCATGCATCCACAAATGTATTATCAGAATCCTCATGGTAAGTTTTATTTGATTGTTTGGTTATTTGATTATTTAGGTGTGTTTTATTAATTAATAATTAAATAATAATTAAGCTATTCCTCCGATGATGCGCTATCCTCATGAAGGTATCCCAGTTCATGTTCCACCGAATGGAGTGATGATGGGCCAACGACCAATGATGATGGATCCACATTATGTTCAACAACCTGAAACTCCGATGGGTAACAATTAAAAAAAACCCCAAGTCATATTTGCACATGATCAATAAATATTTCGAGTATTCTGATTATAGTTCATTCTCAGAAGGCATCATGATGATGATGACGATGCCAAACCAATAATCACAAAAATCAAATGATGAATTTAAATCTCTTCAATTCTTTGTGAGTTTGATATTATCATCATCATCCTTTTTTCCTTCTTTAATCAATTACGAACAATTTCTTTTCTTCGCAATTCTTGTTTTTTTTTCTTTATATTTCTTCATCTCTTGTTTTATTTGAAAGTTGACAACGAACTTTTTTAAATTGGGGTTGAACAACTTGCAAATAATATTTTTCTAAGTATATCTGTTGGGTGGGTTGGTTGGTAGTCAGTCACTTTCGACATAATGTCTGAAAATTCATGATGAATTGGGTGTAGGGGTATTTCCTCAACCTTTCGCTTATTTGAAGTCCTAAAAGGCACCATTGAAGAGATTAGTGGGATTGGTACATACTTTATTTTTTTGGAGAAAAATATCTGAGGCGAATTTGTCGAATCAAATTGGAGATGTGTAAAAATACGAGCTTTTTTGGAAATACCAATCAATAATATTTCCGAATTCTCTTTGTATAGTATAAAAATTTCGTAAATAAAGTACGCGCAAGTAGCGTACAGAGAATGAAAATATCCCTCTTAATCAAACTGTTTATGCAAAATTGGTTGTAATTCTCGAATGCATGCAAGTTTTATTATGCTCTAATCTTTACCAATATATATAAATTTTGCCTCGAATAATAAAATAAATAAAATTGTTCGATGTAAATAATTTTTTTGAAACGATGATTATTTTCATCGCACACGATTATTCATCGGGAACTAAAAAGTAGAATGATATTGTAAGAGAAAATAAAATATTACGAGTTTATTGAACCAAGCAAATAGCTTACTTTCCATTTCGCCCGAATTTATTTTTTCCGTTATATCTCTGGGACTTTCACTATATGAATAATAAAAAGACCCACGAATTATAATAAATTCTTTTCAAATAAATGCTTCACAAATCAACACGCACCCTTCGACAGTACATCCGACACTATTACAAGTTCCCAAAATTTCTTTGACGGTTCCGGATAAATGTTTAGCATATGACTTGAACCGCATTGTGCGTGCAATCTCAATCACCTCGTCAAGTGAAATATTGCCACTATGTTTAATATTTTTTTCCTTCTTACGATCACGCGGCGGCTCCTTGAGTGCCCGAACGACTAGAGACGAAGCACTTGGTACTACTGAAACCGCAGCCTGACGATTCTGGATTGTCAGTTGTACAGTCACACGAAGGCCTTTCCAGTCGGCTGTAGCTTTTGCAATATCTTCACCAACTTTTTTGGGAGCCTATGTATATAGGGATCGAGATTGAATTTCGATCGAGTAGATAATTAATGAACAATTCATCATAATTCTCTGGAGCATGCATTTGTCTTAACGTACCAAGCCAAGAGGACCAATTTTTGGAGCGAGAGCAGAAGAAGCACCAACTTCCCCACCCGTAGCCCGCAGATAGATAATCTAAAGAATTTAATACTTAACTACCTTGTCGAGATATGAGAACAGAGCAAAACTCGGTATAGAAATCTATGGGCTTACTTTAATTTCGCTAGGATCTATCTCATTTTATTACCCATGCAATGCAACCACATATAGCTTTCAGACAATACGGCCAATGAAACTTTCAAACGAGCTTAAAAGACTCAAAAAACGCAAACTTACCGATTTTTGGGCCCATTTTGACCAACTAGTGCGCGAAGAATAAAGAGAAAAATTTTTGCTCATTCAAATAAATAAAAAATGAGACGAATCACGTGTTTCAATCGATTCCATTCCTGGATCATGAAGAAACAATTTGGTGCAATGACTCATGACTCTGTGAGTCAAAGAAGAAAATTTTCGCACTAAACGGCAAAATAAATTTTTTTCTTTTTTTATTTCAATCTTAATTTTTGCTTCTTAACTCACAGAAAGAGAAGACCATTCATTTACGTGGTGTCCTTTCTTTAAACATTAGTCTCGTCTCCAAACGAGACCTTAACGAGTTTCATATATTAATAAATAGAACTTGGCATTTAATTTTAATCGAAGTAAAAAAAATAAAAATGCTTAAACAACTCGCGTCGACGAAAAACACAGTATTTCGTTCCTTCCTATCACAACAAAATAGTTTAATTGCTGCTGCTGCTACGACACAATTTACGAAAAGAGCGTTCTCAACCACACAGAGTTTAGAGTCGGTTCTTTATATTGGTAATGTTAGTTGGAGTGCAACTGAACAAGACCTTAGTGAACTAACCTCAAAATATGGCGAGGCTACTATTCGCCTGCCACGAGATCAAATGGGTCGCGTTCGTGGTTTCGCATTTGCAGAATTCGCTGAAGATGATGCAGCTCAGAAAGCTATCGCTGATTTGGATGGAACAAATTTCTTGGGAAGAGACTTAAAGGTGAGCATAGCTCAAGGAGGTACAGGTGGCGGTGGCGGATTTGTTAGTGGTCCCCGATTTGGTGGTGGTGGTGGTGGTGGTTATGGTGGCGGTGGTGGATTCGGCGGTGGCGGTGGTGGTCCTCGATTTGGTGGTGGTGGTGGCGGTGGTTATGGTGGCGGTGGATTCGGTGGTGGCGGTGGTACTCCTCGATTCGGTGGTGGTGGTGGTGGTCGAGATTTTGGTGGACGCAGTGAATATGGTGGCGCTTCAAGAGGTGGTGGTGGCTATGGAGGAGGTGGTGGTGGCGATCGAGGTGATTTCAGTCGACGTCGTAATTTTGACGATGATGAATAAACTATTTCGGATATTTTAGCTGTTAATATCGTTAAATTATCATTATCATTCATGAAAAAGTAAAATATCCAATAGTTAGATTTCCTTCCTCGTGCTCCTTTCGTTCATCTATGGTTTGTTCATTCAAAATCCTGTATATTTCTCTGCTTTGAAAAGTAACAACTATTATTATAACCACCATAGCATTCCTACATTATCTTTATTATTATCCTCAACAATCATCAACCACGACATTATCAACAACAACAATTTTATTTACATACCGTACATACAGTATAAACTAACAACGCTTCCGGGATTTCTTTTCTTTCTCACTATTACTTTTACTACTACTAGTACACTTAATAATAATAGTAATGTCACTACTATATTAAATCTTTATATAAAGTTTTATTGTTTTGGGCGCTTTATTTGATCAAAAATCATGCTATTATTTATATTAGGACTCTGATATAGTTCAATGAAATGGAAGGGTGTGATATTAGATATTAAAATTGACAATTATAATAATGATAATTAATGGTTACAATAATCTTTAGAACATTAGTTACATCCAAAAAATACGTGTGTATGGTTTTGTAGTAGTAAAAAATTATGGGCTAATGAATTAGAAAAATAAATTATATCAAAAAATATAAAGCGATGGTGTAGTTCAAAATCATTTTTTTTCTATATTAATTGAGGGTTGTTTCTATTGAGTATTAATCTATAGTATATTTAAACAAAATTATATTAGAGAAATTAATACATTTAAAAAAATTAAAAAAATAGTGATGATATATATTAAACAAAACATGATAATATAATAATGCTATTAATCAACAGGAGTCACTATGTCTTCTTCGTCCTGCATATAAATACAATTTGCCATCTGAATTAGCATTCGAACTAAACATAATTAAACTAAAGAACAGTAATCAAGCCAAAATAGAAAAGGTTACTTACAATCAGAAACTCCTTTAAAAGGTGAGCTTTTTCCTCGTCCCAATAAATCCAAAAGCGTTGATAAATTATGGTCCATATATACGGACAGAAAAAATTTTCGGAATACAAAGATTCTTCATATTGGAATTTCAGCTCCGGAAATTCCTATAAATAAATTTATCAATTGGATAAGTTACAAATAAATAAGCAAGCCAAATAACTATAGAGAATGAGTTACCTGTAGCCGACCAGGTGGCCAAGTCCTTGCAGCCGTTTCAATAATTTCGGCAATCTCTTCTGTGGATGGCGCTTTTATATTTGCTTCTGACACCCGAGTGTTGAAATAGTTTATTACCTAGAAAAAAGAAAGATTCAGTCAAGGAAATAGAAATAAAAAATTTTGATTCAACAAACTCTTACATTATCAACATTAGAAATTAACTGTGAGAAACGTGGAAGTGTCAGAAAATGAGTAAACATATCCTTCTTATGCAGCAACGCATATATTAATTGAAGGTTAGAATTTAATTTGGAAGAAATTATCGAATTGATAATTTCCAAGACCAGACAGGCAAGATCTTCATATATCGAGATATCGGTTGACTTTGGATAGGAAGAAGGACGATTAGTTAAAACTGACCGATAATGAATCAAGTATCCATAACAAATGTATATACTTACATTCTCATCTCCTTGTTGTGCTTTAACATTTAATTTTTGATAACGTTTGGCTACAATGTCAAATAAACTAAAGTAATGTTATTAAAACATTATATTTTGATTTATTTATTTATATTTTTATATATATATAAAACAATACAATACTCACTTTACGAGGCGTTGTGACACGTAAGGATGAATATCCTGAACGGTGATAGCCATGTTTGCAAGTATTGCCAAACAATTAGTATGAATAAAAACATCCTAAATTTAAAATAATCAGACATACGTATGTTAAGTTTCAGTGTTTATTTTTTTAAAACAAAAAATAAATATCGAAAATTTACTCTGTGAATCGTAAGATTAAACTGTATTAAACGAATCATAACAAGATAAATAATTCCCCCAAGTGATATCGATTTTAGAATACGTTCAGTGAACCACGGTTGATATGTTATTGCCTGAAAAAATGAGTTTATTAAAATCAAAAATATTTCGTAATAAACATAAAATAAATTCATACCACTTTTTGTATATTCTCATTGAAGACATCATCTTGACTGAAAAGCAACAGAATTGTAAGCATTATATATGTCTGAGGGTAATTTGTTCTGCCGTCTACAGTTTCATATAATACCCGTAAAATTGGAAGAAGCTTAGCGAACAAAAACAAGACAGAAAAATTAAGTTATTTCACCACATAATTATGTAAAGTAATGGACAATCAAAACATTGTTATACCAGTATTTCTGGGTCTAAACGTGATAAAACATAAACTCGGAAATCAACGTTTTCAATCATAAAGGTGTATAATAGCAGACATATTTCTTCTGATGGCAATTGTCTTAAGAAAGAAATCATTAGCCCATGAATGAATGCGATTACAATGCTATCGTAAGAAAAGTGCTTACTTACTGATAAATAAACCGATATAGAGACCGAAAAGATATTTCCATTTCGCCACCCATCAGACCTTTACAGGATAAACTTTTTTCAGAGCTATCATTAAGAAATTTTCACATCGCAATAAATAGTTTATAGTAATCACGATAACAATACCTTGTTCATCTTTGAGATGACTTATGCCAATTCGAAAATGACTTTTAGATTCGTTTGAAGCACAAGATTGCGCCGTTAATAAGAGAAGAATCAGCAAACTTCGCTCAGCGACAGGATGCGGATCAAAAGAGGATACAGTCGGTTGTTTAGTAGCAAAAAGAAAAGAGTATGCGTTGTAGACTACATCTGATGTTATCGTAGTCGCGTAAATATGCAAAAGATTAATTTTTAATAAAGATATGCGAGTCTAAAATGAATTAAAGACATCTTACTAGTTGAAACAGATGGCACAGCTTTGTGGTCAATAAAATTTATTACTAAGCGTTTGGTCAAGTCATCGATGAGGTAACTATAATAGAGAGTGGATATTTAAGTATTTTATGGTTATCGTGAAATGAAGCTACCAGAAATAAATATAAAATACTCACTTGAAATCATGAAGTAAAATGTTAAGAAAGAAATTATTAACATTCTCGTCGGCGTTTGGTTGATGTATTTGTATGGATAGCAAAACCATCAGAGTATTCAAGCATTCCTGATAAAATTCGTAAGAGGATGCATTGATACTTGCAAAAGTGAATTAAAGAGCATAATCGACATTAGACAGAAACAAATAGCAAGCTTCCTAGTCATGTTAATGGGCTAACTTCTATATTCTACTTACGTAGGATCAACTTTTAAGATAGTATTTAAAAGAGAATCGAGAAATTCAACTATCATTGGTCTTTTATCACTAGATGATTTGTTTAAACTTGTCCCATTCAAGAACTTTTCTCGACTCTGTTCCAATGATTTATTTGATGGAAATGGGGTACGTTGTTGTCTGCTACGTATACCTATAAAAGGTATAATGTAAATAAGCTATATAAGTGAAATGAAAAAAACTAAAAAAAAATTTGAAATTTATTTACCTTCGAATTGTCGATTTATTTCATTCCCCGTTAAATTTCCAATAAAATGCTTTAAAAATATTCTTATCAAGAAGAGAGAATTGTAACATTGAATTGGGATCTCTCTATAGAATAAAGTTTAAATGTAACACATTCATTATTTATAAATACTACCAAAAATTACTAGCATTCACATGCATTAAGCGTACTTATTATTAGCTTGATCCAATACTTGACGCATTTGACTTAATGCATATAGCAACAAAGTATTAAAATTGCCCGTTTTTGTATTATTAGTTGCTAGTTATACAAATGGGAATACATCAATTTATGTAGATAATACAAAAATAAAGCAAATATTTACAAAGTAATATATACCGAACTCTATTGCCAAGCCAACTGTCACCATTTCAACATCATAAGCATCCTGACTGCAAACAAAAAATGAAAGAAAAAAATGTGAATATATTGCACGAAAAGCAAAATTATAAAAAGATAAATACGGAAAAAACATTGATTTAATATTTATCCGAGAATTACCAAATATAAGTAATTTGCCCTAATCTAGGGGACTCACCCAGAATTCGTACACGGTAATTTTTGTGATGCTATAATAGATTCCCAGCTTTCTTGGTCTTCCAATGGAATTGGTTTGTCAGAACATAGATCCTTTAATATTTTATATTGCGCCGCCGTGAAAAAGGTTATTTCCGAAAACGATTTACGTTCAATGAATTCTCTATGAGCTGATAAAGAAAAATTTGAAGCAGCAGAAGAACGCCGAGGAGAAGGAGAGTGTTTATTGCTTGATTGATTAATAGTTGGTGATGTTGGTGAGGTAACGCTTGGAAGTGGAAAAATGAGTTCCGGGTGTTCGGCATTTGGCGGCGTGATTTCTAGTAAAACTGGCGTTTTTCGAGTTTGTAAGATCCTGGAAGATGATTTGGTCGAATTAGATTGATGAGTAGGCGCAGGTTTTAAGGTTGATGATGGTGTAGAAGGAAAAGAGACAGAGGAAGGAACTCGATATAGTTGCGGGGGACGCGCAAGTGAAGCTGATTGACCAGTAGTAGACATTTTAATAAAGTTCAAGTATAAATCGCCAGCGATGAAAGTTGAAGTATATAGTGTTATCCGTGTACGAATTAGAGTTTCAGATCCGATTTTATATTAAATTCGGTTTGGAATGCAGAATTCGGTCCGGTCTCGGACCAAAAAGTATTGCGTATAATTGCGATAGATTATCATAGCAAATAAATTTGGTTAAATGATGGTCTAAACAAGCAGGTGGATCTTGCTATTTTACTTCTATTTACATAACACCGATACCAATTACATAAAACGAAATTAATATAGACCTGTTTCAAGTAAATGATATCAAATCATGTGTAACAGTTAGAAGTTGATCGATCATAATCACATTATGCACAAAAAAAGTATAAATTAATTTGATCTTTTTTTAAAAAACAATCGAATTTTCAGATATGTCGACAAAAACCTCGAACAATACAAAAAAGTCAAAAAAGCAAAATGAAGAACTACACACTCAGGTTTCCGACAAGACAAAACACGTCGGTAATTGGCTATTCCAGGACCAGACGTTTACAATTACCTTACAACCTATTACCATATTAACATTTCTCGCACTTTTCGTATCAAGCTTTGTGGCTTGGGACCGTCACACGCGACAAATCTTTTGCGAAATTGTTCGTGGTGAATTGGATAATGATAGAGTTCAATGGATAGAAATCTCGAATAATCCTACCTCGCTTAACTATACCTTATACGAAAACGGAGCATTTGTCTTTAAACATATATTCTTAGAGGACTTTAAAGAAGAATTTGACGTGGAGCCGCTATATTTTTCGGTATATATTCAGTGTTAAACGAATTCTCTATATTTAGTATAAACTTTATTTTTCCCAATTCAGGAATATGAACCGCGAGTGACCGAATTACTAGCGAATTTCGACTTGCAAAAAGTTTTACGCGAAAATGAAACAGAATTTGAAAAAAATTTACTCGAAAGTATCTACTCCGAGACAGAATTATATACACATTTTGTTGAAGATATCGAGAACCAAGTTAAAAACGGAACATATGTTGACGATGGACGCTTCTATGCACGTTGGGTAAATGACAAATTGAGATACGGAATGTTTGCGAGTCGTGATATTGAAAATGGAGAGTTTCTTGGAGTATATTGCGGTATTCACGTTTGCTTCGAGTATTTTTCAATGCAACGCATTATACTAAATTATTTTTGATTCAATGATTAGGAGTTTATTCCGTTGATGTTGAAGACGTTGAATATGGTATTTATTAGCAATGCAAATAATAATGTTTCTTTTTTATTCGCGCCTATGTTTCTTTCACGCGTGAATATTTTATTCAATATTGTATTCTTTAGCATGGGAATATAATTTCCTCACAAAGGTTACCGATGAAAACGAGGAATTTGTACGAATTTTAATCGATGCAAAATACAAAGGAAATTATATGCGTTTTGCAAATCACCGTGATGGTAATTTATTTTTTATTCACTTTTGTCTAACGTGCATAATTGATAATATTTATTTTTTATGTTCAGATAATCAAAACGCCGAAAGTATTTATATCATTTACAAGAATCATTGGGTAGTGGTCTATGTCGCGCGAACAAATATAAAGGTTAGCTTTAAGTATTAGAAGTGATCTTATGTTTTGGATATCTAATCATTTCTTTTAATTAGGCTCACGATCAGATTTTTGTCTCTTATGGTACCGCATATTGGCAGGACAGAGATAAAGTTGAAATTTGACGAAAACAGATTTTTTCTAAATTCGTCAGATATAAAGATATAACGTAGTAGAATTTAATAATAAATTTGTATCATATAAGCTAATAAAGATTTTCTGACTCGATCGATACCGTTAATGAAGAAAAGGTGGACAAATATCCTTCGGAAGAATTATATCATTGCTCTCGCTCGTAAATTAAATAGAGTTTCTAATAATTCGGATACAATTAAAAGCACGTGATCTTGTATATTTTTATCTTGATAGCCTCGACTCCTGTTTACAAAAAATTCTGTATTCGGGATTAAATGTGATAAGAATACGACCGTTGACGATCTCAAAGATGCTATTAAGGCTAAACTAAGTCCTTATTTAGATGGTGTTTCGCACTTTATATCAAATTAATATCGATCTTATTACGCAAAACCCTCAACGAACCGTTCTCGGCAATCCAAATGCCGACATTGTGAATGATTTGGGTGGTCAGGTGTTGAGACCTATGGATACAATTGAAGAAAAATTTTCCGCACCCGCCAATAATCATATTCACGTCACTGTCGAGGTACCTGCTTTTCCTGATACTGCTGGTAAGTGGATCTTACTGCTGTTTATTATCTTTTTGAGTTGAGGAGAAAGTAGACGAATATTGAAAAAGCTGACGAATGAAGGTGTAAAAAAAAGTGATCAAAATAGTTATCATAGTGGATACACGCTTAAGGCAACGTTTATGTAATTTATTAACTTCGTGCTTCTTATATTTACTCAGAGGCACCTTCGGGAATTACAAAAGAAGGATCATCATATAAGCGGACGATTGACAGGTTTACTGATACAACTCAACAATTCGCTAATATTGTTGATAGGTAAATGCCTTTTGCTGAGTATTTCTTTCTAGCTTTTTTAGCTTCTCATTTTTTTTTATTTCAGGCAAGCGAAAAGACCAAAAGTCTCTCAAGTATGAACCAAACGCATTTGGATGAGTTACTTAAACACTTGCATTTTCGTCGAACTACAAGTGTTATCATTGTGAATTCAACAAATAAGGATTTTGATGAACGGTTCGTGTGGGATGAACGAACCGAAAATCAACATGCGGAAGATCAAAAAGATGGACAAGGTCATGTGATTAAACGAGGGTATATGAATAATTTAGGTGACAATATCTCTATTTCCCCAACATTCGTCTGGTTCGATCCAAAGCCTAAGAAAGATCTTTTGAATGTCAACGATGTCTCGCTTCCATAAAGCTTAAGTGGTGGAATTCGGGCCGGATTCGAATTAAAGAAAACGGTCCAAGATTCTGATGTTAATCAAGCTATTGCGGAGCTTATCGTGACAAATATTGTTTCAAATCATGCCGTTTTCTTAGTTCTCACTGATTTAAATAATACATGGATATTCTATTGGCTTTCAAATGATAGAACAATTATGATGTTTCGAGCCGCCAATTCATGTAATGCTCTTAACATTATTGAGAGAGCACTTATCGAAGATCCCACTTACCGCAACTACCACAACCATCGACTCTAATTTTCCTATTGGAGCGAGAAGCAACTGCTTTCGTCATTTGGAAAATTTGCAACATGGAAAAGTATTTGAAAATGATGGAGAGGCTGGACCTATTTTTGAATAGGCCTAAGATCCGATTCGAATTTGAGGATGATGTTACGAACATGAAAGATATGTTTGATGAGATGACTGAAAAGGAGATAAGTGATTGGAAAATAAAACAAGCATTAAAGCTTTTGGATGGGACACCAGGCTTTCAATTAGATAAAAATTACATGAGTATGTACTCATAATTATGCAATGATAATATTAGTCTGCATCTAGTTAGCTATTTTTTTATTAATAAAGTTTTCGACTTCACGTGTAAATGTGTAAAAATAAAAATGATGTATGCTCTTTTTTCGACCAAAAGTCTCAAAAGATATTTTCCTGACCTAAGGTTAGCGGCTACGAGATTACTGTGTCACATGTTATATGATGTGATGATCTCGCATCACAACCTATGCGCTTATCTTAATCGTAGTTTTTCGTATTAATCCATAATCCTGACTTGTTCAGTATTTTTGACATATGTATGGGTGGTGTGAATGTGAGAGGTGTGGTAATAAATTTTTTCTTGGCAAATTAATTCACACCCGAACAAATTTGAAAAAGTGTTCGTAATTATCTCTGGAATAATCATATGCACCGATCACCTGAAATGCGCAGTACGATATCGGAAAAATTCTTGCCGAAAGAATAGGGGCTGTGCGACGTGCGAAGCACATATATTCACATTATTTTTTTCTAACAAAAATTCTTACCAAAGCGTTTTAGTTTCTTCCGAGGTCTTCGAGTAAGCGTGTTAGAATAGATGGTTATCTCTTGAAAAAATAATTATATAGACCGCAGACATAGTATAGACATAGTATATAAACGGAATCATCATGTACCCGGGCTAGCTCCCGATCCATGTAATTTATTTTTTTGCGTGTAAATCGCGCTAAGCATTGTATTAATAAAACAATATTCGAACCCCCTCGATCAAAGATCTTCGGGGTGATAAACCAATCAGATATGTATTTTTTTCTGTCGTTTGCTTAAGAAAACTAAAAATGTTTACTATTACTGACCATGAACGAAGTGAATTGTCAGGGGATATTTTTTGGCAATCAATGTTTCGCATGATGGGGTTATGAGACACGTATGCTAATCGCTGAGATTTGCAAGGGGAATTAGCGTAATAACGAAATGCAGTGCGTAATTGCTAGTGAGAATTCGGGATCGCTATAAAAACCCTTTTTTCTCACAACTGTTCGAAAAAATAATAACTTTATCCAGACACGAACTAGTGATGGTTGGGACCATATACGAAGACAGTATGGATAGAACAGACATCGTAGCACTCGCAAAAAATATCCTCCGTATGACTAGTACCCTTGCTACGCATATCAGTATCCCGGATGTGAATCCATGCTCATTATGTGGAAAAGAGATTTATTCACTCGCATCGAACCCATTATACAAAGAATTTACCCTAGCTTCGTGTGGACACATCTTTCACCAGAAGTGTCTCGAAAGATATCTGATGAATGGAGAAGCGATTTGTCCGAATAAGAAGTGTAACAAAGTTATCGAAACTTTTCTTTCTCCAGAACTCTTTAGAGATCGCAAGACAAACCCCTTTTTCAGCCACAGGCTTCAAAAGAAAAAAAGCAGTCTTTTAATCAGAAAGCAGTGCAGATATCACATAATAAAGACAACATACAGGCTAATGCTTCTAACTTCGAGCAATTGCGAGAAGGTGGGCCAGTGGATTCGGGAGATCAAACGCAAGTGGACGAGGGCGCTGATGTAATTCTTATGAACGAACTAGGGATATTAGGCGGAGAGGAACAAAGTTCGTCCAAGACTACTGACCAGGCATCAAGTTTTATTGAGACTGCTAAGGAAACTGCTGACCTGACAAGATCTGTGGAAAACACTAGCTCTGCATCCAATAATCCAGAAATTCTCAACGAAAATTCTTCAACGACTGAAGCCCTTACATTGCAGGACATTCCAATGGATGATGTAGTAAATAAGAACACACCGCAGATCCAATGCCCTATATGCGAGAAATGCTTCGAAGAAATCTATAGATTTCCAGAAAGGTACCGTCTTTTTGTCCTGTAAACATGCTGTGTATTTAGATTGCATTAACGGTCTACGCAAAAGATGTCCTACCTGTACTTCAGCCGATGATATGGAAACTGATGATTTGGAAATCCCAGGTCCGAGTGATTCACAAAAAAACGTTTTAGAAAGGTTACCAAAGGTAACAAGTCGAACACATCAACCGCTTTAATTATTACAAGAAAGATAATCCTAAGCGTACTGCTCAGGCATTGGTTAATAATGAAGTTCGTAAACAACTCCCTGACACTGTAAGTGATGACGCACTTAGGAAGAAAAAAGAAAGGGCTCTGAAAATTTTTGGGCTATTCAATGAAATCGGTGAAGATAAAATTCAGAGGATTAAATTCTTTACCGTATCGGCAATATCAAAATTAGGCCAAGACGAAATTGACAAAATATTGATTAGGTTTGCATCCGTAGGAAGATAGATTAATTTTACTGCGACACACACGTGACGCAGTGACCTCGGGCACATTCTATGTAATAAAAATTAACATAGCTTTTGCTTCTGTACTCTCGAATCTGAATATCAATAAAATTTTCATCCATGATTCGAGCATAAATTTTTTACATATGTACGATGTGGGAGTGTAAAGGTGTGTATGTGGTGCGTCGGAATATTAATAAATTTTCTTGATTGCGAAGATTTGCCCATATCAGATCTGACTTGTAAATCTTGTTTTCGTGTATACCTGTGACTACTCATCGAATAAATAAAACCGTATTGTAGCACAAAGCTAGGCACATCGCCAGCACTTTCTCAGTACTAAATCACGAGATGATCCACATATTTTACTGCGTGAAGATCCATTCGCCGGATTCACTTTGTTATTAATAAAGTTTTGCCTTCCTCATATCGAGAAGGCTCGCCTATTTTTTAACCTGCATTCTCGCACAAACTATGGCTGGACCATGGTAGGTTGGTGTAAGATTATGATTGTGCTAAAAAAATAATATTTCTGTACCATAATATCTTTGGTAACTTTTTCCTCCAGAAAAAAATCTTTTGAGGGGAATTTATCACTCGCTTCATTTTGAGGAGCATATCCATGTGCAAGTAAGAGCGCCACGCAGATAATTAACTTAATCACACGTTCCATGTACTTCAAGGAGTAAATGTTTTATATCCATATGCAAGTAAGGCATCCATGCGGGTAATACAGTAACTTAATCATACACGCAGATTCTGTATGAATACAATGGACCACGCTCCTCTTATAACAAACAATACACAAATAATAACATCATCCCACATTCTCCTATACATTCTAAGCTTCCCGAAATCACGCTATCTACTCACCGCCCAGAATTATCAAAGACCGGAGGATATTCCTCTCGAAGCTATGCTTTACGTAGTAGGAAAGGGGTCAAAGGATCACATGATCATTATCACTTTTTTACCCGAAGCCAGACTGAAGAGAATAACTCTGATACTTGATACATTTTTTTCTCGCACAAATGTTCTATTCAAAATTCGTATAAATTTGAATCATGATATTATGTAATATACCTTGATAAAAAATCGCTATAAGTCTATAAAACCGCTATAAATCAATAAAATCGCAAAAACTCACTTCAATCATATATAATCATTAAATATGGTATATTCGGATCCCTACACACCTTTTAGTGGTACTGAATATTCTAATATGTGCCGATTATCAGGAATTCATGAGAATGAGACTCCATCTGATTGGAAGGAGCGAATATGGGGAAGATTAATGGGTTATAGAAAAAATCATCTTTTGACTGATGATAAGAAGAGATATCTTATTGCCAGAAAACCAATACATTTATATAAAAAACAGTATGATGTTTGGCTCGGAGTAAACATAGGTATATGCTATTCTTGCAATCAGCTCATCTATTCTAAGCTTGGAAATGGATATGAGTATTTTCATGCATTCTTTATGGATAAGCATTGGAGTACAAATTGCACCGGAAATGAATATTGTGACTATATAAAGCTAAAAGATAATCCTCCACCTTGCTATTTCACAAAAAAGACAATTCGTCGTTATGAGATGTGGCTGGAGAATGTATCTAGCAGGATTAGACGCATCAGGCAGAAACAACAAAAAGGCGCTCTGCTAAGTGATGTAAATACTGTACCTAGTTTGATTAATAAGTTTTGGGATAAGCCACGTTCATTGACTCCTTCTCCATTACCGCCAAAACCTATTGCTTTAATGTAACGTAGTGTGAGTGTGCCTGAAATTCGAAATAATGTGGTAGTAAACTCCACACCTAGTTTGATTGATATTGATAGGTATTGGGATTCTGTGCGAAATAGTGTGGTAGTAAACTCCACACCTAGTTTGATTGATATTGATGAGTATTGGGATTATGTGCGAAAAAATGTGAAAAAGGAAAGGGACTTAATATCTTTCGACTAGACATTAACATTATTTATCTTAGCTCTATTTACATATAATTTATCTATGTATAATTTATTGGATATGCATTATATAATATATTGATTTTTTTCAAAAAGTTCAGGCAATACAATGTTGCAATCATGGGGATTCTTGATTCCTAAATACTATAATCATGGCTTTTAAAAACTTCCATGCAACAGTTATCCAGCGAGCTGACAGGAATTACAAGAAGAGACCCGAATCATTGGCAACCCAAGTTTGGAATGTGGTGAGAAATGATGGTACTCCTAACAGGAAGAAATTTTTAGGTATACTTGCAACTCCTCGAATGATAAAAAATCCTTGAGACTCGCCAAGAACATGTTTTACATTTTGATGAATGGATTACTACGCTTAATAAAGGAAATATTTATCAAACGTATAATGCAGAATATAATGTAGCCAAGGTAGGCATGTATGAGGAATATATTTATTATTACCCTTATCTTTGGATAGTGAGTAAGAAAAATCAGTTATGTAATCGATTAGATAAAGTAATGTTTGATCGTGTTACAACAAGGTTACAAAGTTATGTTTCGCGATGGGAACTCCATGTTATTTATCTTCCATGGAGATACATAATAAAATCGTTACAGAATCCTGAAGATTATCTTAATAAAAAATTCAATGAATACTTCGTCAAAATAGAATAGTAAATGCACGTATAATTATTACAATAATACAATAAATCGGTTTATTTTTACTTCGCCCCACCACAATGCATGTAGACGTGTGCAATATAAATAAGCACGTTTTTCGATCCTCGTTAAAGTATCCTAGCCATGGCAAAAATGGTGTCGGATCACGTGATGATAAACCAATCCAACCAATAAGAACGCGCAAAAATTCTGCACAACCAATAGGAATGTAACAAATTTTTAATCAACCCGGCAAAACAAATCCGACACAAGAAAATGAAAAAAGACAAAAAATGCGAAAAATACAAAAAACAGATATCTAAATCTAGCTTGACGCATTATCAAAAAATGTCGAGAAGCCAATTTTATATATAATTTTGATTTTAAATCCTAATTCTAATACTTGATATCTAATCTTAATCAGATATTTTAATAAATCTATTTCAGATCACATAATTTAACATCTTTTTTTTGCCATGACTAGGCTACTAATACTTTGTTCTACCATTTAATATTAACAAATAAAATCTTTTTTAGCTAGTGTTTAATAAGATATTGTCATCAATTTGATGTAAATAAAAATGTAGTAAAGACAAAATTAGTCATAATAATATTTAAATTACATATTAATTTTTATTATTAGTTAATAATATTCTTTTTTTATTTTTTCTTTTCTTTTTCTTTCTCAATATTTCTTATTTTTCTATTTTTATTTTATTATTATCTTAAATTGAATATTGTTACCGTTTTAATATGACTTTAGGTTCTGTCACGAGAGTACATGTGATAGAGTCAGGTGGGAGAGTTGACGTATTAAATAACTTAAAGTTGAGAGAGTTTACTAAGTTATCTAAAGGTAGGTAACGTATGTTCATTTTGTTGGTCAGCTAGAATGAGACCAGAAAGATTCAAAGATAATAGTGTATTTATTATAAATC